AACGGGTGGAGGGGTGGGGGTGCGGAGGAGTATATACAAGAGGTCAAAGGGGTTATTTGAACATTATGGCTTTAAACCCGGTGATATATTTTCGGTTGTTTTGTTCTCGCCTTCTCGATTCCAGCACGAATATTTGTAACGATAAAAGCGAGCGCAGTGGTTTGTTCGCTCGGATTTGTGAAAGAAAAGCATGTGAGACTTGGCCCAAACCTTGTAGATACCACCACCGAATTCAGGGCATATCATCTATTGTGAAGGCCGAATAGGTGTATCGTCTACGAATAAAATAAACAAACAATGAATGATTATAAAATAAACAGTAAATAACAACATGGAAAGAATGCAATTGAAGCTGAAATATAAACAAATATAAGATAGAACAGAATTGTTACTAAGTAGCTCTATCTGAGATTATCACATCAAAAGTGTTATATGCATTTAAGATGTTAAATACAATTGGGGTGTTGACTTACGCCGTGGCATCCAGAACACTGTACATTTTGGCAGAGTCCTCGGGTTCAAGTTCTTCGATGTCAATCGTGGTGGTACTAAACTGGGATAATGTCGCAAGGGTTATGGAAAGGTCGTAGAGGTCACACCGAAGACCAGTGTATCCTGGCATGCATCTGAAATTTTAAAAAATATCTCGTTGATTTGTCGCTTATCATGGAATTCCGTTTTGCGAGTCAACAAAAGAACAAACCCCCTTTTCAAATTAAGTAAGTTTAAATTGTTCCCACGCATAGCTAGCTCACCTTGCATTTATAATTACTAATTTGGATCATCCGACTACACGCTTTAACAAACTTATGATCTCTTATTTACATGCAAAATGTTGAAGTTATTCCTTGTTTAAATAGGGAAAATTTTGAGCCCAAATTTGAATCGTGTGGAAATAGAGTTATCATCAAGGTGACACAAATGATGTTTATTCATTTTAAAACATACTGTTTCTAACTTGCATTAAATAAGAGGAATATTCCCACCCCTCCCTCCCTCGAGCTTTTTAAAGTCCGTTTCCTTCACTCCAAAGAGCGAATGTCAGTGTTTTTCGATGCAGAAATAAAAGCCACGAGTGTAATTAACGATCTTAATTTTTAAAAAGTACTTTTTAAATTATTGTTTTTGTCTGGCAATATTTGTCTGTTTGGTGTATTACATGCGAAACAACGCGTGTAGTCAGCTTTTGTGAAAATGCCATACTTTTGTCTTTCCCAACACTTGTGATTCCTATTTGATCTTTGAGCGAGAGAGAGCGAGATACGGTAAGTATATCCACGTAACAAATTATGGGAACTTGGCACGCTATCCTTTTATGTTAATTCACCAAAAAAAACTCTTTGACGATATGCATAGCTAATGCAAGTTGCTATAATTAGAAGCTTTCCTTACTTCGAGATGAGAAACATTCCATGATTGTCTAATATTTTGGGATTAGGACTAGAGATGCTGGCATTTATCTAAGCATTTTGCGTTTCTCCCCAGTGAAAGCTGGCCATTTTTGAAGCACACAGAGACGAGCGACTAGAACAAAGGCCCAAAATGCAGTGCTAATTGATGGCTAACATTTTTTATGCCCGGAAAAAATATATCAGGAAAAAAAGCAGTTCCAACTTTGGTTAAGTTTACTTTATACTCTCGTCTGCAGACAAGTTCATTAGAATCGAGTGCACTGCATAAAAGGTCATTCATGTGGTTTCAAATGTAACTTCGTGAAAAACTCGGTGTTCATTCGGTGTGTGTGTGTCCTGGGAATACATACGGATTGCATGTGGAATAATTCGATATGGTTTGCCTTCGGTTTATCAGGAATAAGACTGAGCAATAAGAATTATTTTGTCTCCTTAAAAGATATTCTAATTTTAAAATTGTTGAATTCAATATCGTTCAATATCTCACCTCATAACTTTGATACAACGTGGCTATTGAACCATTTAATAATATAATATTAAATAAATCATAAGAGGGGTGCGCGATAGACTTACCTCCACGTGGTGCACCCTGGACAACGTATTTTCTTAGGGCAAAAAAGTCTATCACTCGGCATTTTGACTTCTATTTATTATTGGGAGTATACACTCAACCCACATGCCCTCTATGTAACCTACATGAGGAAATGGAGAAGACCCACCTGATTCGGTGTCCAGCCCTAAAGACAAGGATGGAAAGCCAAAGATACTGGGAAGCAAGAAGACAGCTAATGAATTACTATTAATTAACTGCTATAAATGTACCCCCCCCCCCTCTTGGGGGAAGCTGAAGTCAAAGTGTAAGGGCTAATGATGAATATCATAAAGCCTGGCATTTGATATAAATATAAATAAATCATGCGAATATGGATATTGCTATCTTAAACATTTAAAATTCGAAATATCATGAAAGGCAGTAATACGGTTCTTAATCACAAGAAGAGAGCCTTCAAATGATTTAAAAAACAACTGAATCTTATTGATTAAATGGACGGCCAATAGGCACTGGTCATAGCAGATTAGCATTCTCAAAACTCCTGGGAACAAACTTTTTAATTCAAAAAAAAGAAGAAATGAGGGAACTCTGGTTAGTGACTTATTTTTTCTCACTTTGCCATTTGTTTGACTTTCTGATATACAGTGTCCTCGGAATTCACTAAACAAAAAGCGCACTTTTCATTGTATTACTCTGCATAATAGTGGCATTTCTCACAACCCTAAGTAACTAATTTCAGAGAATATTTCTCAACTAATAATGACACGGAAGAGGCGATAACTGTGCATTCGAGAAGCATAAGGGCGTTCAAATTAGGCCCCGAAACTCAGAATTTTCATGTTTGCTAGTCGGTGCTGTAGGCAGTCGGAGGATACAGAAAGTAAACGGGTAGCAATCAACATCAAATCATGCTTTTCAGATGACATAATAAGAGAATATAAATAATGCAACAGAGAATATCAGTTACACAATATGAGATTATTGGAAGGCTGCTGATTGGTTGATTATGCACTATTGTGCTGCTCATGCCAATATGACTCATTTGCACCTTTTTAATTGTGAGAACAGTTTTAAGTCGCGAATTAGGGCTCGTTGAGGTTCATCTAATGCTAAGGGCGCGCTTGTGCTCCACTTAATACCGACAGATTCAGTCATTGGTAAGTGGAATCAATGCACTACTGTTGTCATTGGCAGTAGTCGTCATATTCATTAGTTTCATCTTTAGTTTGCGGAATCTAAAGAGGGTTGTTTTTTGAGAGAATAGACATTAATCAAAACGGTATCTAGGGTTTAAATCTGAATTTTAGATCGATCTACCCACTAGTCAAAATTTTTTTGATTTATAACTATCAGCCTTCTATTCACTCCGGGTTAATTTCGAATAAGTAGACGTAAATTGAACCACGTTAGTGGAAGATATCTTCTTCAAACAATCATCTTCACTATGTGGATCGAGTCAAGCATTTTTCACAGTGCGTCGGAGCCAAATAGTGAAGTAAAGTCTATGCGGTCGACTTAAATCATTCCATCTTTCGAATGAAATGACCTCCAATTCAAATAGACCGCTTAGTTACTAAACCATAAATTTTTGGAAATATTAATTCATCATCACCAGTAACTGTGATAATGGTAATTTTAATCGTTTCTGAAAATTAGTCATGGGCTTCTTATCCAAATGCCAGTTGTTGTCAACTACTTATAAGTTCAATATTGAGTAAACTGAGATTCTCCGGCAGGTGTTTAACGATTCCACCTCCGTGTAAAATTGAATAAATCTGCGTCAGTGCTGATTTGTTTATCGAAATTTTAAAAAAGAGAGCGAGAGAGAGAGAGGCTGAACATCAAAGTGCAATCACTTAATATTCACGTGGACAGGATGGCTGATGTTGACGCTGATCACGCTGTGAAGACAAGCCAACTGGTTCGTCCTGTCTTCTCGCATAGGTGTTTTACCTAGCACCTCAGAACTGCAAAATCTAGCAACGATTCGACCAAAATAATGCTCCTGCCGATCGAATTGTGATTTTATTTTAAAAGGATTCAAGGGGTGGGTGTGGGGGTGGAATAAAAGCGATGACATTTATCGACCTGGATTTTAAGTTACAAAAGAAATTCCTCTATCACTCTTTGCACAATAGTGACTAATCACAATGACCTTTGAATTTTATTGATCTGAAACTAGTTCTAATATTCTGAGTGGGGGTGGAACTTGAATTCATCATGATTTGCATTACAGAGTAAAATGCGCTTTCCATTTCAAAACTAATTCTGAAATTCATAAGTCACGCAAAAAATGTGAGTCATTGAGTGACTGAACTCATCTAAAACCAGTAAGACCTCCGTCTCAAAGTGAATTAAACAATACTCTCTACCAAAAAGCAGATAGAGCAGATTTCAAGTGAATTCTAGTTGGAATGACACTTGGTAACAACTCTTGATGCTCATTTGAATTCGCATTGTTTCAGAGAGAGAAATGCGTCTGTTTATGTTTATCATTTCAGGTCGAACAAGGCCCGCGTCCAGTGAAATGTTGTGTTTTAAACAATTTTGAATTTGCACAAGTCCTGAACTTGAACTCGTGGCACAGGTACATCGAAGAAACCATTCTGAAATTACAACAAATTCTTCCAAAACTTCAAAGCACAAGGCTCAGGAAAAGAGGAATTTCGATAATTCAGATATAACTATTTGTAAAATCGGTGGAAAGTTGATAATATTGAACAAATTAAGACCACCTAAACTTCCTTTTTAAACTCAAGCACTATTATCAGAAAAAAACATAAGTTATTAAAATTTATTTAATCTAGACTTACGAGCATGCCGCACTCTCCAGAACATTAACGTAGATACAGGCAATGGAATTATAGCAATAATTAGCAAATATTCCTGTGCAGTTAGTAACTGGTGCTTCGCCATCTTCGACTACCGAGGTATACCGTCCAGTAATATCCAGACCATCAAGACTTCGTCGTCTGCGTCTAAGCAGATCGAAACCTTCTCTCACCCTTTCCCTCTTGAATACCTCGCTATACATAGAGAGGGCCAGGAATCTCTGTGAAAGGTAACAGGGTATCTTGTAAATACATTCGGCTTCGGTACATTCACTTGATTCTCTCCGTTTCTGTTCCTTTCGAATTTGAAAGAGAAGGGAGACAAACCACGATCTGTCGTACTTCAACGTTTCAATGAAAGTATTTGTGATCTCACGGACCTTATCCTCTATTTCTGGATTTGGTACTTCTTCTACTATCACCCCGGAATTATCTCTTTCTGATTTGGAGGACAGAATACCTTTATCGTCACAAAGGAGATTTTTCCTTGAATTCTTCATAAAGGAAGCTGGTATGAGAGGATTCTGAAAGAGATTCATGAAGGCTGTCCTGAAATCCACAGCTTCACTTGTAGCAGGCGTCGTAGTTGCAGGTGTTGAAACAGATGGTGAGCCTGTAATGGTTGGACTAGAGGTTGTGGATGAAATTGGTGTGGTTGTCTGATCAGCACCATCCTCAGTAACCGCAGTTGTAGAGTCAAGCATTGTGGCAGGCATCAGTGTATCCTCATAAGTCGAGGAAATACTAACCATTTGATTGCCAACAGGAGGTGTAGTGATAGAATTGGCAGTACTAGAACTAAGTGGGGTAGAAATTTCCATTTCGATTTCTGTCATTGATTCTGATGTTCTTGGGGTTATTGTGGACGTGGTGACTAATAATAGTAGTGCAGAGAATAAGATAATGAAGTTTGCTAGATACATGACTGCTGTAAATAAATTCGTGTTGGTAGTATGATAAGTTTTTATAGCGGTCTAGGCGCCAAATGGCTTTGTGATTGGTTAGCTATCCTAGTGACGGTTTGAAGGTGATTGGATCAAATTGATTATATTTAAACCGACTTTTAAATTCCTTTGCAAAATTGATTGGTTGGGAATTTAAGACTGCTTTTTTCCAACGAGAAATTCGCACGATGAGATGGTAAATAGCTATATAAAAAAATAAAATATATCAATAAAGTAAATTAACGGGAAGGTCAAGAACCGGCCCAAGAAGTTATTCATCAAAAGCTACTTACTCATTGAATTTTGAACAGTTCAATTATTATTGTTTTAAAATAATATATAATCAAGGCGTTTAAAAAACACACTTAAAAATGCCTATGATTAAATCAATTTACACCTGTTTTCTTGAATTACGAAAACTTAAATAAATATTAGTTAAAATTCTTAAAAGTTGGTTTTCTTGATTGCTGATATTCAAGGCATTAACTGAGCATTATGAGGCCGGTGAGAACTAAGGGAATTACTTATACGGAATTTCGAAAAACAAATAGATATTTATTTATTTTTTTAATTTCACCGACTTATTTTCGGCGCCTTTCCTCACCACCAATTAAATCACTCGAAACATCTGTTCTCGTGGAAATAATACTTTATCATTTTTCGACATCCAAAAATGCTGAGTCACATAGAAATTGAGAACAAACTCAATAATTATTATAATAAAAAGTCATAACTTTTGGTGCCTTTTAACGTTTAAACGAAAGCATGGGCAGATTTGCGCTTCGTTACCTTTAAAATACTATTTAATGCAGTGGAATTCAATTACAGACGACTTGAACGGAGGAGGATATCAGTAATAGCAAGTACCGCGTGGGCAAGGAAAGTACCTAACTACCAAATATTTCTTGCCAGAAGGCACAAAAATCTTTATGTGTTTACATCCAGATAAATCGTGTGGGCGGTTTCTACCTTCAGGTATGTAAATGAAAATGAGCTTAATTGAATTTACTTAATCTAACTCGGAAATACAAAAAACAAGATGACATTATAGCAGGCAAGATTGAGAACTGTTTCCCTACGAAAGGAACTGCTTTGGTAACAACAGAGACTTTGTACTTGGAACATGTATTTTGCTACACATGCTGAATGCATCAAGATATCATTACTAATAACCAAATAATAACTATCATGCATCTAACGTAGTTGAACTAGATATTCCTCGTAGAGCTAACTATCTTCCTTGAGTCAAAAGAATGATAAAAAGGCAGTTTAAAATTGGAAAGACAAAGAGCTCGTTGAACCATGCATTTATTTGGCAACTGGAAAATGACACAAAATAAGTGAAATGAGGCAGCGATTTGAAAAAAATTTGGAGTTAGTGTAGGAGAGAAAGTTGGATTGCGAGTAACAGTAGAATTGATTTAGGGTGCATAGGTACCTTCCATTTACTTCATTTGTTTTCAAACTTAACGCCATGTTAGGTGATGGTTCAAATGGGCATATGATTTCCATATTTCCTGTCAAATCCAGATTTGTTTATTCTGAGAGTGAATGAATGTTATGAAATTTATTAATAATAAGCAATAGTACGTTGCTAGAAGTATATCATGATTAATTGCATCTTCTCATTGAAATTCCTAGCCCTGAATTATTTCACTCTCTGCAATTAAAAAATTAACGATTTCGTATTATTTTTCAAATTATAGTCGAACAATATGCTATGTTTTTACTCAACAGAAGAATTCAAAAGTATTATGGAGTACTTGAGGTTCCTTTCTATAAATCTTTAATTATATTATTTTAAAATATTTTTTTAAAAATAAATAACGAAATTTTGCAGAAAGAGCCTCTGAGAGATCCCAATTGTGCAATAGCGCTGCTTTTCTCGTTAAGATGCAAAATGGCGTTTTTTGCAGACAGATTCGCTAGGCGAAAGATTGGTAAGTGGATAGGCGAGTGGATGTAATGGCTCAGAAAATGTCAGAAATTGGGATAAAGTGAGCCAGACACCTTTGCGCTATCATTTCCTCCTGATGCCTGTCGATTCATATCCCACTGGAATGTTGCATAACAGATTCCTTGGGGTGGAAAGAATGGTGAACGAGATTCCAACATCTGGGCCTGCGTTCAAGGCAATTGATAGTTAACATTATTCCCACATTCTGCCAAATGCTCCTCCTTTCTTTTTTAGAGGCACTAACCATTTTTCGTGTATAATTTCCCATATTTTACCCACTGGCTGAAAAAATTGTTCAATCTCAGTTAGTTCACCGTGGATGTCCGAATGATCAATTTTGGCCAATGAGATCTTTTGATTGACCATGGACCGATGTCACATTTGCAATACGAGTTTCTCAGGGTCATCATAAATCGAAGTAGGTGGAAAAGTCAGATTTTCTTCACAAAATCCCATTTATCCTGGTTTCCGCCTTTATTAAGAATGTAGAATTTCTAGTGCGCCAGAATCTGGCAATTTTCTCCAAGCCCTTTCGCAAATTCAGAGATGTAGCTGACATCTTTTTCATCTACTTTTGATATCATTAAGAAATGCAGCATATAATAATTCAAATATTTGCTTCGCTATTTATCATATGAACAATTTCAAAATAAGTTGCACCCCAAAACGGTGCAGCGTCTCCTCTATTAGTACCCTTTGTTTCAGTTTTACATGTCCTCAATATATAGGACAAAGTGTTGAAAGAAAAACTCGATTCAATAATGCGAGTGTTTGAGGCGTAATTCCCTAATCAAGTCATTATTAGTAGTATTTTTCGGGGTGTGAAATTATTAATTAACATTTATTTATTTATTTCAAATGGCTGGCGTTTTGATAGATATCATTAGCCATTTAGCTGACTTCGGGCTTCACAGAGGGAAGGTTCATCAAAGTAGCAGAAAGTTGAGGAGTAGGGAACAGAAGAGCGATTCACAGATGCAAAAGAGGCAGACAGACACAAAGGTAGAGAAAAAGGTAAAGTGAGTACTGTGGAAGGGATCGAATATGACAACCAGGGGGGTCGTGGTAGTTTGAAGTCAGAAGTCAAATGCCAATTAATAGACTTTTTTGTCGTATGAGTATACGTTGCCGAGGGTGCACCACGTGGAGGGAAGTCTATCGAACACCCAAGTAACTAACATTAATAATTCA